TCAGCACCTTGAGTTCCTGCAAGATTGCCACAAGAGACAGAATTTTGTGGAAATGTGCATTCGCAGGTACCCACATAAGCCGTGCGACAGACATGCCCTCGAGGCGGACAGCACTGACAGCATGTGCCCGAACTACCTGAGGGGCGCAGGGGCATATGTTTCCCTAACAAAGTGAGCAGCGTGAAAGCCAGTTTTATCCACCCAAGAATGGCAACGGGATCATGTGCATCCAAACGCGTGGCCACGATTGGTTTCAGTAGAGCAGACGCATTGTATGGCGAAGATACAGACTCAACACTGGAACTGCAATGTTCACAGCCTCACAGCGTCAAATGCTGGCATTGCAAATTCATACACGCATTGTGAGTTGCGCCCTTTGGTGGAACAGAAGGCGGCAATCCGGAGATAATCGAATAAGCCCCACCGTTCCGATCAGATTCAATGTGCTGTGGGTCTTTCTAACAATCTTCACCGCGAATTCCTGGCCGCCATCCAAGCGCTGGCACCTGGGTTGTGGGCAAAACAACATAAAATTCACGATGCCACGCGACTTGTGTTCTGTTTGCGATTCCTAGTATTCGGGGAGATGGTTTTATAGCGTCTTCACGAGGGTTTCGTGCATTGATTGTTAAATCTCCATGAACTGGGGATGCCGGGCTGGTGTTCACATTGGGAAGATGACGATGCGCACTTAATCGTTGTTTTGAGTCAGGAAAGGCACTATGTAGACAGCGGTGCGCTTAGCGTCAATTTAGCACTAGGGGGGTCGCGGTGGGGTGGCACTAGGAGAAAAAGGGGCAAATAACACGTATTCAAACGTGTATAAAATTTACGGGCTTGTGTTATTTTTGTGTTCTTAGCGTGCAGAACTTTGATGAAATGTGTTTTGTGTGTGTTCGCAAAATCGTTATTTGGCACTTTTTCTCCTGGTGTGGGGAGCTCTGAACCTGGGACGCAAAGAGATCACATAATTAACGCAATTCCGACAAAACGGCTGAAGATACACAGAACGCCGTTGATTCGAGGCAGACGGCTCGTGACTCGTTCCATACACCTCCCTCAGGCGTTCAAACTTGAACGAAGACCCCAGAGTATCCCCAATGTACAGCCATCGGGGCTGCCCAAACCATCTGAAGTTCCATTTTCAGCGCATTATTATCTCTACAGTTTTGGCTGTTTACGTTTCTTAGAATCACCTTGAAAATGCCCAGCTGTGTTACGTAAGGTTGTTGAGTCATCCTGGCATCGACATAAGGATTTGCGCAAAGGAGGAGGGTAAGGTGGGGGCGGGGTGGGTGGTGGGGGTCTGGGCTCATCGTCGATTTGGCGCTAGGCGTACCAAAATCGACATAGTCTCTTCCCTTAGTGCCTCACGGAGTTTGCTCCCATTTCTTGTACAGAGAAGTTCAGCGCAGACAAATTCCTCACTCCCACCTCGTGCTCGTGTTTCAAATGCCGTGCATTTCAGCGTTCGAGCCCAATTCTTGCGTTCATGGAAACATGAATGACGTGCGCCCGCATGGGAACCGAGTTGCGAAAAGCATAGATCCGAAGTCAGAACTGGACGTTGAGGAGCAGTAGTAGCTACTTGTATTCAAAATGCAGACATCTATCTAATTCAGCGTTTGGAATATCAAACTGTTTGATATTCACGCGCGTCTGCGCATAAACAGGGATTGTTCATATTTTCGCGCAGTCACAGGTAAATGTGGAGCTTGGGTGATGAGGTCTATTCAATGCTTTTTGATACACAAGGAGCCGCGAAATCGCACGCGCTCGATATCATACACGTAATTTTGCGCATGTTTGGCGAGATTGATGGCCTCTGCGAGGGGTAGGAGGTTGCGACTGCATATTCTGCAATGGACATAAAATGTGTGACTATGCGCACCAACATGGGCGTCCGCAAGTTGAGATCCATCATGCATTAATGTGATATCCTCAGTATGTGGGCGTAAATGTATAGACCTAGCCTGTTCCGCAGGGATGCTTATCGCAAAATTACAATAGACATGCAATAGCAGACATCGCTGCATAAGTAGTGCACAACAGACATACAGAAAGTCTCTCTGGCAAGTTCAAATTAGTAATGACATACAGTGACAGTATAGAAAGCACTAGACGCGCGCTGTGTGCCATGCGCCCATTGTCCACTGTGAGCTATTATTACCTTGCATTGGATCAGGGCGCAACCAGATTTACAGATAACGCCCGAATATTTGGGGCCCAAGACATTGGAAACCCGTGCATGGCCATAAAATGCACAAAATTCATCAGGGTTGCGCCTTGCCTCAGAAGCAGATCAGCTTAAAACTCAAGAAAACAAGAGCATACTCCGACGCCTGCTGCACAAAAAAGTCCTTGCCAATACACTGCGATGCACGACTGTAAAGGTGCTTTCCTGGCAGGGTTCTAGGAACAGAACAGACGGTGCTCATGCGATTGGCTGTTTTGCTGGTGCCCAAGACTTAGAGTTGTCTACGCACATGTAAGTGATGCCCTCCGACCCTCTTCCCAATTCTTTGCGCTTCTTGTAATGCCGATGGAAGTTAGAATGGCTGCAAGCAATTCGATCTCGGAAAAGGGTTCTTCCGTCCTCGCATCCATTGCCTGCACTCGTCACGTCCAACGTTGCAGACTTCGACTCTGGGGCGCCACCTTGAGGTTCTTTCTCCAGCGGTTTGAGGCAGTTTCCCATCAGGAACGCCAGACGACAATACTCAACCAAGCAGCCGCGCCTCACGGCGGGCTAGTGACGCCACCTGAGCGCAATCGACGGCTACCCAAGAGAAGCCTGAGCGTCATGTCAGTACGCGCTGGCTGCCGTTTGATTTCGGATCAGTGTGGATGGACGCCGGTGTCGAGGAAAAGCTTTCGCTTGTTAAGAGGCCGTCAAGGGGCGGCCCACTCACAGGGCAAGCATCCGTTGCCGTTTGAGAAAGACATCTTGAGAGCTCCTCTGCTGCGACCTGGCTGTTTCATGACGCTTCGGCTTCCCCACAAAGCTCCCTTGGTTTATGTGCGGATTTCGCGTGCTGGAAAGACCCCAAACCAATGCGTCGCTCGGCAAGCGCAGCGGGCGCAGTCGATGGTTCGCCAAGGGACGTTTCGCGTCGGTTCGACGAGGCTGGTCGGAATTGTCCTCGCGCATAGAAGTCAACTTGCCCAGGGGTGATACCATATGCGAAATGGTATGGAATATTTGTGCAACTGTGCGGAGCTTCCGCCGGTTATTGGTCAATAGTGTTGTCTTCTGTTTGGGGATGTTGCCACTGCAGCAAAGCAGACCAGCTGCCGAGCCAACGGTCTCCTGTTCTGAACAGTTTTTCAAGCGCATTTGTTCCTAGCTTGCTCATATCCACCACTGGTAGTCTGCCACTCTGATGAGCCTAAGATACGATTCCCCAGCTGAACAAATACCGAGAGATACCCGCCTGTATGGCACCATTGTCATTGATAATTGCATCCAACCGACCGTTACCAACATTGTAGTTCCAAAGCGACACTTGAAACAGTGTCAACTGTTCTAGTGCAGCTGATTTCTGGAAAAACATAGGCTATTCGCATGGGAGCGCTGCAGCACGCCATTTGGGTGGGCTGGCACTTTCGCAAAGAGCAAGCGCTTGGTTGCCCAGCTGTCTGCATCCACTGCTGCTCATCGATCCCGTCTGCATTGATCAGCAGGTGATAAAGTTACTGCCAGAACTCCAGGGAGGATCTTCACAACCGACCTGGTAGTAATATTGCTAGATCTTCTCTTTCGTGCAACAGTATGTGTCAGATCGGACAACGAAGGGGCGCCGCAAGAAACAAAGGCACCTTGTGTTATCGTTCCACGTCGTTCTGAACACAAGCCGACACTGTTGCCATCGCCAAACAGCTGGGCATTCAAATGAATAGTTGCTGACATGTCGCCGTTGGCAGCAATGCTAGAGACAGGGCGAGTGAGAAACATTTCCGACGGTGTGCTGTTTATTCTGGCAACATCCTTACATTCTTTGTTCATGACTCCCTCTGTGGCACACACCCCAGTTCCTCGTATGAGACACGTTCTAATGCCACCATGACAATCGCAGCACTGGCATTCCAATTTGAGCGTTTCTCTGCTTGCGGTGCTGTTGCATTAATCTTGGTTGCTGTTCCACTTTGGACAGCACACATATTGCCATCCCTGTGAAACTTGCCTTACTGTGCACAGAGACAGCGAACCGATAGTGTTGGCCTCCACAGTCAGCACCACTTTTAATGGCAGCCTTTCCACATGCAGTTGCAACGGAGCTGGTTGAGGCAACACGTGGCAATGTGTACCGGACAAGTGTTGCTACGAATGGCAAATTCCATCTGGATTCATGCATCAACAGAATACTGTGTGCAAGACAATGCTGTAATGGAGTCTGTTCGGTTTCGCAAGTCCAGCATGTTTACGTACCACAGTTGTGAATTTCACAGTCAACAAATGGCAGCACTGTATCTGAAAGTGCGTGCATGGGACTTACAACACCACCATGTACAAATCCGAATGCCTCAGTCTCTGCCTGGCGCTAGCTTCAGGCCCTTCACATAGGTGGCAGACTTTAGGGCTCTGCTATTTTCATGTTGGAGTGTTGGTGGGTTCAGGCATGTGATGTGGCAACGATAACAAACCAGGAATCTTTAATACACACAAGATGCTCCAGGTCCATTCCTGGACTATGAGGTGTGCACGAGGAGGCCAAGCTGACAGAGGCATCTTGGAGGCACCTAGCAGCGAGTGGAATTGTCCAGCTTGCTGCTGCTGTGCCTGGTGACGGGGCCCCAGGGGTCATTCCCCTCTCATCATCTTGTCATCACATGAACATACTCCATGTGTAGTTGTTGCTCTTGAGGTGCAGGCAATAATATGCACAGGACAGTGAATCTGCTGCACCTGAACCCTGTTCCTTACGTCAGCAGCACCCCAGTGCTCTGGCTGGGACTCAGTGCCCAATTCCACAGTCCTCACCATTGTCACGATGATCTACTCATTTGTTGCCTGTCGTCTCCCATGAATCTTGAAGGTCCACACTGCCATTGCTTTCTTCCTCTTTCACAACACTATTGTAGTGGCAGCCCAGGTTGAATGCATGCCTCATAAAACAGAGCCTCAACAATGCCTTGTCTCCAGTCACAAATTCTTCACCAAAGAATTGATCTGGCATTCCTGCCGAATGAACTACGAGGGGCCTTTCCAGGGCCTGTGATAGGGCAATAAGCTCCATTTCGCCTCCCCACTCAGCCGTGGACTCTACGTTAATGCAGTGGGCCTCCAGGGCATCCTCGACGTCCTCATCGACCAAGAAGGGGTAAAAATCGGATTGATGACTGCGTATGTAACTTGCTGCCAGCTCCCGGAGCTCCTGGTAAGTTTTGGAAGCAGGACCAGGGCGGCTCAGTTGGTCTTCAATGGCCCTGTACATGCAGTGTCCATCAGGCTTGATGTCCTGAATTCGAAGGCCCATGGGCGCCAGTTTCGCCTTCAGTTCGCGCTCCTCCGATGAGCGGGCGGACTCCCCCATCTGCGACAGCTCTTCGGCTATCCTTGCGTCCCTCTCGAGCTCCTTCGCTGCGGCTTTCTGGCGGCGTCGCTGGGCGCGCGTGACGTGCCTTGGCGAGTCTTTTGGGTTGCCATCTTCGCCCAATTTCGTCCCGCTCGCTACCAGAGCCGTCTGTCCTTCAGAATCGGCTCCTCCATGCCCGGCTTCATGGCTGCCCGTAGATTCGGCCTGGGCACCCGCACTGCCCGTCGGCGACGCATCTTCCTCCTCAGTTGCCTGTAGGCGCTCCAACTCCTTCAGTTCGGTGTCATGCCTATCCTTCAGCTCCTTCATCTGAACGGCATACTGATCCTTCTTCTTTCCCTTGCCGGACAGCCTTTTGAGGGCCATGAGCTCCCGCTGGTGCCGCTCCCGCATCTTGGTCTTGCTCTCCCTCCCGGGTGCCGCGGGCGACGTCGATGGCTGACCTTCAGCCGGAACCCCCTGGCGATCCCCATCTGTTCCTTGTGATCTCAAATCGCAGCGTGTCTCCCCGGCGTCCTGGCTCCCAGGCCCTTCTCGCGCCTCATCGCCGGCCAACCGCCCGGGCGCGGTGGACGGCCCTTCCTCAGGCGCGGCTGAGGCGCGACTGGCCTTCACGAACCCCCTCTGGCCGCCTCCCTTGCGGCCCATCGCGCCAGCACCGCCCTCTTCGGCAAACCCGCTTCCCACTCCGCCCGGCCACGGGCTCGGTCGTGGGTGACCAACGGGCCTCCAGTGGGCTGTTATGCACTGAATCGGGTATCGTGTACCGGTTCTTCGCCGCTCAGCGATCTGCACACCGAATGGCATTCATTCATGGCGGTGCCGTGTTTCCTGCGGTGCCTTCGCCACTGGGCGCCCATCAGGGTGCCGGCGGGGTGCAGAGATGCGGGGCGGCCCAGGACGCGCGTTCCACGTGGCTTGCCCTCACACCGGGTGAGCGGGCGCGTCCGGGGCTGCCCCAATTGTCCGCCCTGCCCCATCACAGGCCTCTCGCTTCCGTGCTGTCCTCGTTTCTGTCGTGAGCAGGACTCGCCCGCCTGCTGCTGGTCGGCCGGCCTTGCATCAAGCTCTGCTGACCTCGCTCCCCGGTGGCTGGGCTGACTGAAACCTGGCGTGGGATTGCAACAGGGCGGCCATCTGCAGATGCTCACTGGGGGGCCCGAAAGAGGTGTCGACTCCCCTGTCCTCCCAGCAGTACTACCAACAGGCTCGTGCGCTGTGGGAGCTCTGGAAGGACTCAAGCGGGATGCTGCAAAAAAGGGCCGGCGTAGACGTCATGGTGAGGTCCTGTGCAACTGCCCAGTGCCGTCCCATACCGCTCTTGCCATCTGCAACAGGCCAACAGAAAATGGCATCTTGAAGAGGCGAAATAATGATGGGCGCTACCGTGGTATTTGCTGGGCATCGGCTCCTTGTGTATAAAGATCGAGATGCCAGATCATCGACAAGAGCTGTCGTGGCAGCCAGCTTTATTCATTCTTCCTTGGGTGGAAAATCGACTGGTGGTGCTGCTGACTTCTGTGCTTGTGGGTAGCTCAGCACTGAAGCAAAATTGCTCCCTTGTGAGGAGCACGAGAACACACATCGGCACCAGACTTGCTGTATGGAAGCTGACAAGCTGGTGATTGTATTTCAGGTTCCTGCACTGTACCGCCGGGAGTTGACAGTTTGCGAGAAGGACAACGAGATAGAAGGTAGGCCATTTGATATGTGGTAGCCATGTCCAACTGTAAGACTATCAAACCAAAGCAATAATAGTGCATTGGGGCTTTGAGTTGCGTGGGAACCAGTGCCGGTCAGCATCTGGTTGCTGGGCGCCCTACCTGTGCCTACACACACACGTGCGCGCACGCGCACACACACTTTAGGCTACTGCAATGGAACACCTGCAATTGTGTTTTTTTCTTATGAGGGAATGGACATTGAATTGCAGGAATGGATATGAAAAGTCTGCCTGTGCTGTAACGGGAGGATTTCTGAATGCACCAGGGTGTTGCACATTGTGACAGATCAGTCCTGTTCCTGTATTCTGCAGATTTCCTGTAGTTCTGTTGTTAATTTGTCAGGCTGGGAACTGTTGTGAAAGGAAGAGATTATGTGTTTGAGCAAGTGGGACTTAACAGGCAGTGCTGTGCGCATTGTTGCCATTGTGGCCACCAGCAGGTGACCTGCCCAGCTCTGAGGATGCCATGAAAGCTCTGAAGACTGCCAAAAGGGCTGCTGTAGATCTGGCAGCCAAGGCAGCAAAATTGGCGACATCTATTGGAATGGAGAGCAAGCAGGTCAAAGGTGACATACAGCTGCACTGTTCATAACGGTGGGATTTCACAGTGTGGGATTTCCTGTTGTCCCATGGAAGGCCAGTGGCCTCTTTCCTATCACAAGGACATGTTCACCTGCTGTTCCTGTGAGAATCCCAGCTGCTCATGTTGCTTGCAACTGCTGAAATTCAGAACTGTTTTGTGGTCTTCCAATGTTTTACAATCCTCAGGGATGGGTGACAAGCCTGAACCCAAGAGCCCAAAGAGGCACAGGAAGGGATGTGATGCACTACAAGCCGAGATCACCAAATTGGAAGAAGAAATGGTGGCTATGGATGCTGAGTGGCAGGCGTTGGAGGCTGACAAAAGTAGCAAAGAAGAGAATATTAAACAGAAGATTAGACAAAAAGAACAAAATTTGGCAGAGGCAGAGAGGAGACGAACAGAGAAGAGTAAAGGTGAACACTTCCTGTTGCTGGCGGTGGGTATGGAAGTGTTCCATTCCTGTAGAAATGGAGTGCTGGAGGTTGTGCTTCCATCTGGGAATGGTCTGCTCGTATTGTAGATGATATCCTCAATTTGGGTAGCAGCAGGCCCATATTGGCACTCAGTATTCCTTTGCAGATGCAACAGTACCGCCTCACCAGTTGATGGCATAGTTGATCGTCCTGGAGGTTCGATGGTGTCCGACCCTCCAGAGGGTCAGATCTGTTCAGATCTGAGCAGCTACGGCACATGTCTCAGCCAAGTCACAATGTACACTGTGTTTATTGATTGTGTTGTTGCCTGACAGCGCCACCTCCAAGCTACCCAGGCCCAACCAGAAATTTGAGCCAGGAGCAAGGGTCACCTGGCAGCGCCCAGATCAAACATCCTCCACACCAACCTCCAAGTGCAAGAGAGCCACAGAGCAAGGTGTGCCAAGTTGATACAGTCAAGTTGCCAAATTGTTTGGCTGTTGTACTCACAGAGGTGATTTCTCAACATTACAAATTGCCATTTGGTGAATGTGATTGCAGTTCAGTACAGTTACTGTCATTTTACCGACTGCTGTCAGTCCAGGCCAGGGTAATGTGCCATTTCAGGCTGCATCATGGTTTGACAACGTGTGCACACAAATGGACTTGTTTTTGAAACAGTACTGATTCAATTAGGTTTTGCCCTGTTTTTCTTGGTATATTTGCTTGCTCACATCTGTTGTGTGTTCTTTCAGAAAGCGCCACAAGGTGCCAGACCACAAGATGGCGCCATGGCACGCCACGTGACAGGGTCAGCACAAGGGACGGCCCAAGCAAAAGAACCCAACCGAAGCACAGGACAAAAGCGACGCTCCGATGTTCCCCCAAGTACCTCAAAGCGAAAACTAAGCAGGTTGACAGTATCTGATTTCTCAGGGGACCTTCTTGGAAGGTATCTCAAAGTGTTCTGGCCAGACGATCAGCAGTGGTGGACAGTGCGGGTGCACAGCATAGATGCAAAGAACAGAACAGCACAGCTTCTTTATGAGACAGGTATGGTCGCTTGTGCGCTTTTGTTATGGTTTTGCAAAGCTGCGATAATGTATTGGATCGTTGCCTCTTGGTTTGACAGAGACACTGCATCCCCCCCCGATAGATGAGTGTGGGTTGCGAATCACTTGTGCCTCCATGTTGTGTGCCAGCCATGTGCGTCAGTGCTTTCAGATATGCCGTTACCAGGCACACAAACTCCTTGCAGTTTGCACAGCATTCAACCACAACTTGATGAACTGCAGATGTGCGAGTATCTCAAATTGAAAGCGTCTCTACAGCATATGTGCAGAAATTGGCCAGCTGTTGGGTATTCACCAGACTGCACTGGCAGCACTCGTCGCCCACAATGCTTTTACACCTGCTCAAACTTTGGAAATGTGCAAATATTTCTGTTCGGCTTGTGAAGATGAGATCGAGGAGGTGAATTTGCTGGAGCTCATCCAACGAGGAGAAGTCGCCTTTCACAATGATCGACCACCGCAACAGGCCTTTGGGGTAGTCTCGGAGGTGCGGTAATCAATGCCAGGGCACGCCAAACAAGAGCGCAGATGAACTCTTGATTGATGGCAGAGTTGCTGTCCAAGCGCCAGCAACAAAGGCCCAAACATAGAGGGGCTCATGGACGGGGTCCACACCGCAGTGAGCTTCAGCTGCATGTGTCAGACTGTTGGACTACTGCGACGCTCACAAGGAGTGAGCAAGCTGCAGTGCGAACTGCCCTGTCTATTGGGGAAGGAATAATGCGATGTTGTGGTTTCCTGCCAAAGCCCTTGGTGGCCAGCACAGATTTGGGGAGGCAGCAATCTTGTGGGATTGTGGTTGTTTCTGTTTCATTGTGAATGATTGCAGCAACTGCGCATTCCCAAGGCGTGGGCATGCCTGCTGCCTCACGCCTCTTGTCTGCTACCTTTGCAAATTTGCCCACAGTACACAACCCAACATCAAATATGCAAAATTGAGTGTTTGACATGGTGTTGCACAGCTCACATATTGGTTGCTCCACAGTTGCCGAAATAACGACATCGTTGTTGACCCTTTGCTTGCTCGTTTTGGTGTGAGCCCCTCCAAACTCATATAAAATGCATTCTAAAGAACACGGGGTAAAAAACTGAGTCCTCACACCACGGCACCAACCCACAGAACTGCTGCCGCCGGACTTGTTGGGATCCACTTCAGACCTATGACTAACATAGCACAGCAACTAACTTGCAGGTGTTGTGCCCTCTATATGTGTGCTTTTTGGTGCGCTTGTTTTGGTTGGCCCCTGACCAGGCCTCTGGGTGCTGCCAGGCTGTGCCCCCGCAAGCTGAAGCATCCCTGCCACCCACCAGCCAGGGTGCAGCCAGGGCCGTCGCTGGGCCACCACCCCAGCGTCGATTCCCCTCCCCCCTTGCTGCGCCCTCCCCTGTGGCTCAGTCCATGGGTCCATCGCAGCACAAGCATCGCATTGTGGGCCACGGGGGGGCAGCAGCAATGCCAGCCACGGGACGGCCCCCTAGCCATGCGAGAGACCTGGGACCAGCAGGACAACTGGAAAGGGGGCCGTTGGTGGAGGCAGGAAGGTCCATGCCAGTAACTATCACCAGCATTCTGCGTTCGGGGTCTTCTGTGATTGGTCAACGTGTGCAGGTGTGCTCTCGGTTCTTGCGTTGCGTTTGCCAGGTGCTGCTGCTCTCTCCCTTTGGCAGTTGGTTGCTGCAATGTATGTTGTGCTTGCAGTTTGTGTCACAACAAATCGCTCTCTTTGTTCATAGGTGCTGTTGCCAAAAGACAGGGTGTGGATGAAAGCCAAGGTGGTTGCTGAGGACCGTGGAAATGGCAGTTTGGTTGTGCGGCTTGAAATTGGACCCAAACTAACGTTGAAGGGAAGTGATTTGGTGCGGTTGGTATGACCTGTTGTTGATATAGTTGCCGGCTACGGTTCAGCTTTCGTGCTCAGTTTCAGGCTAGATGGAACCCCGGTGCTCAGCAGATTTCTCCATTTTGGCCAAAGATAGGCGACAACCTCAGGATCTCGTGACTTTGTGGGCTTCTTGTCTGCAGCGAGTGCAGCAGTTGTCCAGTGTTATGGTAGTTCCGAAGAGGTTAAACATCCAAATCGAACGTGCAAATGCAGCGGCTTCCATCAGGTACAGGTCTGCAGAGCGGGCACTTGCCTTTCCTGTTATGCTGGCCATTGGCCAGTTGGCTGCCCTGAACACAAGTCAGATCGATGCGCCTTCTTGTATGCCCCGTCCTTGAGCTGGAGAAGGCTCTGATGCAGCATCACAGACAGCACTCCAGTCCAGAAGAGGCCGTAGGGCGGAATTGTTTTCGTTGATTGGACAATATTGCACGCCAGGCATACAAGTACACCAAATCAGTCCCTTGCACCCTCGCTCCCGATGAAAGTGAAACTTGCCGTTTGCGAATATTGAAAGTGCGTTGTGCTGTCATCGCCTGTGCTTGACGGCTATAATAGGATGCATTAGCATCCACCACACAGCTTGCTCAGGCCACTTGCGCCAGCTCGTGCCATCGCTCTGCCCTTTTGTAGCAAGAGACCCTGTCGCAACGGCATCACACGGTCGCTGGCGAAATCGGACGCAGGCGATCTTGATGGCAGTCGTGAGAAAAGGCTGAACAAAAACTGCTCAGGGCCTGCCAACAGGACTAACTGGGACAGCTTTTGTCATTGCTTTGCGCAATGCAGAGCGTACTGTTGGCTTGTGAGATGGGTATCCGACACTGAGAGTGGCGATTGCGCTGACATTGATAGTGCTGCCCGGAAGGACCCTGGCGCTGTGAGCAAGCAAACCAGAACTCTGTTGTTTGAACATCCACCCCCAAAGCTGGGTTTTCAAAGGTTACGGGCGTGGCCTGAGAGAATACATCCAAGAAATCAGCCCGTGGGCCAGTGGGACAGGCGGATGTTCGACAAGTTATCATCGCGAACCAACAGCTACATATTGGACGCCCGCGTCAGTGCCAATTTGCTACCACCGAGCAGATATTGAGACAAAAGAAGACAATGCTCATGTGCATTGTGCATGGGTACAATGCGCACCCTCTGAGCTACCAAATTCCGTCACTGCAGTGTCGAGACTTCCCAACGTGCAAAACGTGGGTGTGGTTTCTGAATGCAAGAAAAGCACGTGACAGCAATTTTGAGCAACCAGCGCCTAGGCTCCTAATGTAGATTATCGAATGACCAACCAGCGCAGCATCGCCATACTGCTGTGATGCCACTTGCGCCCTCACAAGACACATCACATAAGCAGAAAATGGCGCCTCATGTCCTTCCAGACCACCTGCATTCGGTCTTGGACCATCTGCACATTGGCCAATAGCTGCTCCGCCAGCTGTCGCCTCTCATCGCCCGATGCTGCATCCAATGTGTGCCTCAGCATTTTCGCTTTGTCACAGCTATCTTTCACGGCCCTTACATGGGCCTCTTGCAGTGCAACCAAAGCATGTCGCAACTCTTCTGCTGGCATTTCGGACACAGTTGCCATTTCCCAACCTGCATGGCAGCCATGCGGCTCAGTATTGCGCATCAAACACGCGTCATACGCGTGTTGCAGTGAAGTGGTTCCACAATAACACGGCCTACCATCAAGGAACAGGCCTTTTTCGACATGGCCTCATGTGTGGAACGGCAGTGCTCCACACTACTGTTGCGAGTGCCATCAAATGAGATTCTTCGCACTGACCTTTTGAAGGGCACACGGCAGCATTCTTATGCACTTACCCAAATCAAGTCCAGGCAAGGTTTTGAGCATGACGAGTCGCCAGACGAGGCATTCATGGAGCAGCACCAACGCACGGCAAGTGGCAGCACACTCTTCAATCAAGATCACGGCGGTTGTGCCATTGCTGTGGATGCTGGGTTGGCCAATTATGCGCACGGAAGCCGTGCTAGAATGTTTTCCGCATTGGATTGTTCCTGTGAGTGTGCCATCCTGTCAGCAGGCACATCACACTTACGAAACAAGTGCACCATTCTCCGAGCAGCTTATTTGATGGAGTACGACAAGCTGACGGCCGCCCGCAATGTCAGCACAGGTTGTACAGTATTTGGTAAACATTGGTAGAAATATTGGCAGGAGGTGGCCGCTGATAGACGCTATTCCAACTGACAGTACTTACATTCCATGTAGGACAGGACACGGTCCAGCTCGTCACTGGTCACGCATTTCGCTCAGCAGTGAGTGCGTCAGCGAAGGAAAACACAGAATGCTTGACGATACACTTTGGCCATAATGGGTTTCGGTCTGCTCTTGACAGCGATCGTTGCTGCAGCCAGCCCGTGGACAGCCCAGACAATAATTCAATCCAAGAATTGCCCGCTTCACCGCACAGAAACATGCAGCCAATGCACCAATAAGCGCAGAGTTCCCCTGGCGTGATTGCACGTGGTATGGTACGTCAGAGCTGTTCCAAGTGCAGATATCACAGCAAGTTTTCTTACGCACAGCCCGCATCACTTGGGCACTCACGATACATCCATGCCATGAATTGGACATCACATTCAGCGCCAATTGGAACATCTGGTGCGACATCAATGCAAAAGAGTGTGGCAGCTTGGCATCGCTTGCCTTCGCTTGCCATCGCTTCTTGAGCGACTTCACCTTATCGAGTTTTTGGCCTTGCACAGGCACAACTCCCCCAACAGAAAGCAGTGACTGCCAGGAAGTGAGAGGATCCCACTGGCGTTCTTCCTTGATCTTGATGGCCACTCTCAATGCAATGGACTGACAATGTGTGCTGGAAAGCAGCTGTCCCCGAGACGTGGCTAATGGCTGGAGAAAGTGAAGAGCATCCAATCGACTCGTCAAAAGCGAAGCAAAACAGTGGAACCCTTTGCACAACAACAGCGGTGCTGCGTCATCATCAATCCCGTCCTGGCAGTTGGGCAAGCAAATACTGGAGTGATCCTCTTCCATTGAGATGGATCTTTAAACCTTGTGGACATCCGTTCTCCCTGGCTGTGAAAATTTCGTCCACTGGCTGGCAAACAGTGGCCAAACAAAAGCACAGGGTGATGTGCAGTGCGTGAAGGAAATCGAATGTGATCGTCAACAACAGCAGGCCATGAACGGGAACTGATTGTGCCCAGCCCAAATCCACCCGCGTTGCTGTGATTGTGCGGACTACACCACATCATTGTTGACAAAAAGCCAGCTGCCCCGTACCTTCATCGATTGGGTACACCAAAAGGACTTGCACAAGGCCGCTACCATGCCACAGGGTTTTCACACTGACCGCTTGTCTCCAAGTTTCGCCAGAGCGGATCCCTTGCACAGCATGTGCCGATTGGACCTGAGAGGCTGGACCCCATCTGTCTTCAGCCTGGTACACAACCAGCACCTGGCAATCGCCCAGCAAGTCGTACTCTCCACTGTTCGTTATCGTCACCACCATGCCTACTAGCGATGGTGCCGAACAGCCACTCTGGAAAGTGGAGGTGATATTGTCAGGCTGAACTCGGCACTGCAGGCCTTCAGCACTGCCATCTTTCGTTGCTGCAAGCAAAGGGACTGCACTTGAGAGCTGAGACAGTACCTCATCCACTTCTGCTATGGAATCTCGAACTGCTACACTTTGCAGTGAAGCTGCAGAGATGCGGTCAACCATTTTCTGCAACAGGGAATGGAGCTCATGCTCTGTCCCGTGCCCTGCTGCTGTTTTCTGCCAGCCACCAGGATCAATCACAGAGAGGTGGCCACCAGTCGACAACGTGGCAAGGTGCGACCGATCTGAGAAGTGGGCAGCAACTGTGTTCGAGACATGGCTGCACAGGGAGTGGGGATCCAGACAATCCACAGCACCACTCTCATCGAAGAGATGAGCAGAGTACAGCTGACCTGCTGACAGGAACAGAAGCTGCCGATCCACGACTTGTGCTTGCTGGATAGGCCCTTCAACAAGCCATTCGAAAATTTCCAGATTGCCAGAAAAGTATCCCAATGAAGGCTGTTGGGATGCAGGTGTTGCTGGCACGGTAGTTTCCAAATTGACCCAGGCACTTTCATTATCTTCCTCCCTGCCATAGGCAACCGTTTGCACAAAACCTGTACCTTGATCAGGTGTCTTCCTGGATTTGACCCCCACTATCCGACCATTTCTTCCGACGATCAGTACAACGTCGTCACTGCTGTGGCTACTGTCACTGCTGGTTGTTGCTAATGCAACCACTGGCTGTGCCAGGTTGAAAAGAAGGTTCTTAGGATTGGCTGCCGTGGCCTCGCCTCCGATCACCACACCCCAAACTTGTCCTTGTGATGACCCTACCAGTAAACAGCTACCATTGTGAGTACAGCACATGCTGCTGTACAGTGCAGGCTCTACCTTGGAGCAGTAATGGGAACCCAATGCCTCTGCGACACCCCAGAATTTCCCCGATGAATCGCAAATGTGGATGCAGGCAGTCCTTGACCCAGAGGGGCAGCACACCAGTGCCTGGCCTATTGTTGTCAATGGGGCTTCAATGTGTCGTATTTGCATCGCTCCAGCAAACCTGTCCAGCCTAAAATGAAATATCTTCCATTCGCACATGTCATTATCGCCACCCCCATCTGAAGTACCACTTCCTCCTGGATCCGTTGGCTTCAGTTCATTAGCGTCACCGTGAACCAAGATCTCTTGAACTGCAAGAGCAACCAGCTTGAAAGCAGCAGTTTCTTTTGTGCATTTCTGCACACACAGCCCCATGGACATCTCCACCTGCACTACCATGCTGTCTGACAGACCCATGTCGATGCTTCCCAGAATATTGGTTTGTAAAGAGCAATCTTCGTCTAGCTGCAGTGAGGTGCAGTGCGCTTGGCCATCAATTGCAGTCGGATTGCTGCCATCACTGCCATTGGCGAGCTTGCGCTTTCGCGAAAGGGGCATCCTAGTGCACACACCCTTCCATTGTGGCAATGAATGCATAAAAAGGAACTGTACAACAGTCTCACCAGGTGGCAGGAGCTGGGAGCGCGATTTCATCCACATGGGAAAAGATTTAATCAATTGCCAGAGTTGTGGGTTCAAGCACAGCTACCTGCTCCTGCAGTCTGCCAGCTCCGATGCCCATGCATGCCCCTCTTCAGAAACAGCAATCACTACCAGACCTTCACGTTTAACCGAAACCAGCTCCAGATGTCCAACGTCGCGGGGATAGTGGAAAATCGCCTGGGGAAGTATTGTGTCAGAGGCTGCAAGAGGTCGAGGAGCAGCAGGCAGAAAACACCAAGAAAGAGAGGATCAGATGGACATTAGAACAGACGTGGATGAGCCATATTGCTGCCGGTTCAGCAAAGTGCTTGGCTTACAACGAGGGATCTGTCCTTGAACATCTGAACTGTTGAAGGGGCTCCTCTAACGGCCACCCAAACGGACCCGTCCTCCGTCGCCGCACAGCACAACGCGCAGCACCCATCGTCGGAAACATGCACACGACCCCAAAGGTGGTGCTCCGCGGAGAAAGCCATTCCAGCGCCCAAAGCCGGTGGGGGTGTATTCAGGGGTGTGTGGCGCTGACCACCTTCTTGGTGTGCCAGAATGGCAGTTTCTGTCGATCGTGGTGGCGTGTGAACGGTGAGTCATGGCCAATTGTGCAATGCACCAAAGTACGATCGTTAAATGCCGACTGGAGCTTTCCTCGCCAGCGTGTGCGCGGTGTTCCCACCTGCCGGAGCGCTGCTCCTGCCTCTTGTCCCCCGACTGCTTGCAAACGAGGCACCCCGGGTGCTGCACTTCCAGCTCGCCAACGATGGGGTTCAGGCTCCAAATCAGCAAATTTCTTGCGAGTTGTCTTGCATCCTTCTACAGGGTGCTGCTCACTTGCCTGAGCGTTGCCAAACAGATGACTGTAGCTGCCAACGCTCTGGATGCTGTTCACAGAGCCGGATGGTGGAAGGCTTGAAGCAGAAGCCAGAACACCCTGTTAACCACAACCTGTCAGCCTGCAACAGCTGCTCATAAAACTACCACTTGCAGGTGCCACGGCCGCAGTGGGCGGCTGGACTGGATGGGCTACATGTGTTAGCCTTGTGTTCAGCATTTATGACTCGGCACTTCCATTGCTGTTGTCATGTGAGTGTGCGTTGGTGCATAGCCCATCCAGGGCGACAACTGTTGGCATGACACTGAAGTTTGCAAATTGGGGCCATCTGTGATCGAGACAGAACGTCGTCGGGCTGCACCTGCTGCCGTGCAGGTTGGGAAGTGAGCTTTAAGGTTCTCTGCCAAGAAACTTGTAAACTGCCGGCTAGGTACATGCACCAATGTTGTGCTTCTGTTAAAGTACAACATTTGGACACACAGCTTGTGTGGCATTCTTGCGTTGTAAGTTAACCTGATCTGAAAACGTGGGTCCTCTCCTACCGTCGTTCACTTTACAACAGCACATGTTGCCTCTGCCACCTGGCTACACTCTCACGACTGACCCCAAAGTGAAATTCAGTCACATGATCCCTAATTGCAGTGCTGGTACAGAAGCTTTGGTAGCAGGGACAGATCTGCAGATCTGGTGTGTGGGCCACTCCACTTTGCACGTGTCACGATTCCTCTTGCCCGCTGATGTTGGCCACAACAAGTCATGGCCATGCTAAGGTCTCGTCCCAGAAAAGACTTGGACATTATCTGAAGTCCAATGGCGTCACTGTGCATTGGCATCCTGGCACAGACACTAGCACTGCACATATCGCGATCCTGTGCCAACATGCCACAAAAGCACAGCACTGATGCTGCAGCATAGTGCTGGCAGCATGTCAGGCACACAGGGCACCATCAGCACAACAACACATTACACACATACCCAGTGCCATAACTGTTGGTCATCATTCAATGCAGCAGACTACAGAGTTTGGGCCCCCTCCCCCGTGAACTTGAATGCCCCCTCTTCTGCTCTACCACCTCTGACAGTCTTGCAAACCCACACTCACACAAATCCCCACCTCCAATCAAATGCCACCAGCTGCCCAATACTAGTCAGCCATTAGGCAAGTTTACTGCCAACCAGCGAATCAAGGTCACCACTTCTACCCATGAGATAAACCCCCCACTCTCCATGGCACCACACACCGCCTGGCAGCACTGTTCCACAGACCAGTCCATCAACTCGCACACTCCCAGTGAGTTTATAGTCCTTTTTGAATAAAAAGGTCAGTTCTGCTGTTGACCTCCACAGCTGTGCAAGTGTTCATGAACCAAACAATCAGGCTTTCGCGACACATCAGAGCCCTGCGTTGCCCCACAACCCGTATCCCAGCCCACCACCGCCACCACCACAAGAAATGCTGCACACTAAGCCAGATCTTAATTCTTGCAATGGCCTGCACAACATCCAGAGTTTTTAAAGATCAAACACTGCTGCAGGCTGCCAGCATATTGAGCACTGCAGAAGCCTTTCGCATCCTTAACATTCAATAGCCTGAGTACCGTGCTCTCTCTTCAGGAGTGGATGCGAAAATTTCGATGTAACGTGTGCCCATCATCTGACGATCCTTCACCATAGCGCCCTGTGCATCCTCAGGAGTTGGGAACTCAACGAATGCTGTGCCACTGGGACGCCCGTAGTCAGTGACGACGAACACACTGCAACAACAGACTTGCTCAAAACCGAAAGCTGACAATACATGCAGCAGATTCTTCAGAACACACACAGAGACTCACTGCAGGAGCAATGTGTGTCAAGCTATCACAACGGAGACATAGGGTACCTTGTATGCAACAAACATGCTCCTCTAGATGGAATGTAAACAGCTGTCACAACAAGCAACACAACCCTTCTAAACACACAGCAACTTCAACATGCGCAGAGAGTTTAGTTGGGCAACAGTATCTGCATTTCATGCTTGCGCAAACATCATCTATCCACCAAACAAGCAGATCGTTGTGTAGGCCACTACTGTGCACAGCCAGTAAACAATTCGTTTTAGAGATCGCAGAGCAACTCTGTGGACCATCTGCATCATTCTACAATATTCCCAATGAGTACTTCAGCGAACCACATACAAACCGCAGCCTTGTGTGCATTGGAACACTAGCCACAACTTCGGATTGCTCCCAGGCTGTTTGAACATTGCTAGGGAGGACTAAGAATGCTACTTCTGTGTAACCCACACCCCTGCCCAAATGATGCAAGTGTTCTCCACTCTACCCCTGGGGTAAAGGATATATTGCTTGCAAAATTCAGGAGGCCATCCACCACCTGCCATGGTGGTCTCAGCGGTCGGTAGATTCAGAGCTGCCAATTTTCCATTCTCTTGTGACAGAATGAGGAAAACAGCTGTGTTTGAAATCATCACAGCTGCACATACGCACTTGTCTGCGGTTATTGGAGACATTGCCCCATCGTTGAACCAGCTGACAATGTCCTGCGCATTGACGCTGAAAGGTAACCCCCTAAGCCTCAGCACACACGATGTGGCAAGCCCATTGTGGTCGCCTGGGCCCTCCATTCCAAATGGGCCAGGTGGCCGCCGGGGCCGCGACTCAGTCACTTGATAGGAAACCGGGCCATCAGTCATTTCGGCCACAACTGCCCGGTAGTAATCCTGTTGAGGTACAGAAGCAAGGCAACTCAGCAGCAGCAGGTTGCTGACTCCACAATGCAAACTACAGAGTCTCAACAAAACTGTTGCCACGGAGGTTAATTCCAGTGCCTAGCAGGTTCCACTTCTGCTAACATGTCAATCACAAAGTAGATTTGGCCCTGAATAAGGTGACGGCACTCACCCATGCTGCTGTTTGGGGTATCAAGCCATTGAACAGAGACCCAATTCTGCACTGTGTTAATGCACCACCCAAAATTTGACAGTCAAACAAAGGAACGCACCACAAGTCACCACCACAGACCCCTGACAGCAAACTGCAGTGCCCAGATCTTATGACAGCAGCCAATCCTCAAGCAATCACAAAGCTTATCGCACAGAGGCAATTCTTGGGATGCCAACAGCCTGTCTAAACCATCATACAAGCGAAACCCAAGCAGGGATATGGGCAGCACAAGCCCATCTCTGCCAGTCCCCGCAACAGCCCTCCTGACTTGTGATTGATCTTCATGGCCCTCGCCCAACCCTTGCCTCCTCTCTTTTGTTTCGGCAGAGGAGGGCTGCCCCCCCTTCCATCCATGTACTCACAAGTCTGGTTGGGGTGCCACCATCACCAACGTCCAGTTGCTTTCCAGGGACTGCCAGCTACCTACGCACGAGACTCCGCTCCGAGTGTCCCCAACTTATTTGCCACTTGTGGACCGCTGCCAGTCAAGTATTCTCCGGTACATACACGTCCACTTGCACCATGAGCGTGCGTCTGTGCAGGTTTTGCGCATTAGGGTTGAATTGCAGCGACCACAGGCCTGAATCCCAAGAGGATTTACACAAAAGAAGGCTCTGCATGTCAATCTACACCAACCTCCAGGAGCAAAAACACAGGTGAGTGAACACGAGTGTGCGTCAGGCAACAAAGCCAAGGCCACTTCGGTGAGTTCGTATCTCACACACACAGAATGCAATTCGGCCACACAACAGCACACAATTCGCAAGTCCCTTGCTTACCAACTTCTTGGCCCGGAAAATCTCGATGTACCGCCTCCCCATGTAACTTTTGTTTTTGGTCAGGGCCATTTCTACAGCCACGGGGGTCCCTAAAACGACATATGCCTCCCCCGAAAACCGCCCATCCCGCTTTACCATCAAGATATCGACAGGATCGCCCCCCTGACGCAAAACACCCCAAGGAACAACAGGCCACAGTAAGCACGACCCGAACCCAGAGCTGCACCAAAAAAGCGCGGGAATCTCCCCACATAGGGTGGCGAATTTCCACCAGCCACTCGGAAACCAGCAATTGACAAGCCGCCAGCGACCGGGGTTGGCAAGTGGCGTTCTGGGAGCGACAAGCCACAGCAAGACAGCAAGCGCAGCCCTCGCTGCGCCAGCGAGGGTCCCACGAGCTCCGCAGACGCTCATCCTCCACGATAACCCAGCGCCGAGACGCTCGGGCACGGAACGATAACAACGTTGGGGGAGTAGAGCGGCCTTCAAATGGCCGGAGATCACGGGACAAGCACCGGAGGGTCGCCCGTGGACACCGGCCGGCCGCCACCCACCAGGAACAGCCGGATTTCGTCCTCCGTGACATGGAAGGGCAACCCACGCAGGCGCACGCAAGGGAACACCCTTTCGTAACCCATTGCCATTCCCACGGGATTCATGCCCATCCCGACCCCAATGGGCAAGCCGTCGGTGTAGTAGCCGTCGTGCCCGGACATGACGCTGCCGGAGGGGCCCAGGCGCGCCGTCGAGTCCCCACAACCGTGTCGCAGAGCTGGTTCCAGCTGGGAGCGGCAAGCCAGGACTGCCAGGGGTGCTCTTGAGATACCAGGCAGCCGGCGAGAAGGTCCTGGCCATCCCCGCCAAATGGCTGTTAATGGCAGCCATGGGGCGCATCGTGGGCCAACGGCGGACCGACCTTGCAGCCACCACCTCTGATTCAAGGGACGCTGCTGCACCTTCCTCATAATGGCAGCAATTCGAAGAAGATGATCGAAGAATGGCGCAGGAAGTCGGGTAGAAACAGCACTGGTCACATCAGGATGTAATGAAGGTCAGTTAAAGCATTTGCAGAGGTTGTACTCCACGTGCTTGACCAACAAAGCCAGCAACATGTTTTTCGCAGTACTCCTGTGCATTGGTTGTGTTCGTGATCTAAGAAAAGGCAGCAGAACACTTCCCACCGCACTGACAGTAGTAATTCGTGGTGGTTAGTGTAAAACTGTGCAGAAAAATGCAGCCCTTGGAACACACGAGTTGTTGGCCCAAACGTGGGTACATTCACTTACTCAATGTGCTGATATTAGTCAATCATACACATCAGGGCATGCCAGCCCTTGACCGACTGTCCACTGTTACTAAACTCTACAAAAATATAGTTTTACTACAATTTTAAATATGTTCATGCAAACGGCCAGAATTCCACACCACAAATTTGTCAGTGTGAGTGACTCAAACCAGGATGGGCCAATTTGGTACTCACACACTCCCACCCCGCCATCAGAAACCTTCTGAGGTCTTTCCCACCACGAAAAAGCATAGCATTCTTTCATGTAAGCACCTACTACGTAGTTTCCATGCATGCATAAATAAAAACAACTTAGATTATTAACATTTACCATAGTTTGCAGCCCGCATATAGTGATTTATATTTTCCGCTAAGATAGACCCATGGCAATTACCAATCCTGCACTTTGTTATGTGTATTTATACACACCCTCACCTACCTTCTACTCCTAGTCAGACAGAACAAACCTTCGGTGAATCCCCAGCAATCAGGATGTTAGCCCCTGTCTAGCACGCATAGTCCGTGCACACACGGCAGCTTCGCAAGTCGCCAGTATCCTCAAACCGAAACGTAGGCTCCCAAGTTAGTAGCAAAGAGGCAACAAAATCCCCGTAGGCCCGTGCTCATTACAAGGCTTTGCTTGACAAGGGGTACCATCCCAGACAGATGATAAACCCTTTTATACCTTTGTGTTGGGTGTGGTAATGTTATGCACTTGGCTAAGGGAACTGCACATGGGACTATATCTTGCGAAGTCCAGTAGCGGGCTGAGCTCAGCCGAGCGGAGCGAGGCCATGCGGAGGTCCCCAAAGGGTACTTGCAGGATAGGGGGTTTCCGGGGGCAGAGCCCCCGGCCGCCGGAGATAATGGGATTAATGAGTTTAATAAAGTATAATAGAATTGTGTGCCGCACGATGTAAGAGCATGCGTGGCCATACCATGTTCTAGCGATTGATTGTTCTGGAGCCTCCCTGCTTCCTCGAGCGCAGCAACCGCGCACCTCAGATGAAACCGCATAGAGCAGCCGTTACCCACGGGCCAGAGAGAGCCCAGGAAACGCCGTCTGGCCAAGGACGACCATGCTTCCACTGGAGAGGCACCACCACGTGGGCCAAGGTATCTGGACGCAGCCAAGGGGGGACCGCACCAATATTGGGTCTCCCTATTTCTCCCTCTCCCCAGTTTGTCACACCATCTTTTTGGGAGAGTTACATTGATGAGCCGCTGTTATGGCCCCGTCAACGGCCACTGCTTTCCGGAGGCGTTGGGGTTGCCCTACACTATAGCATGGCTGTTGGAGGTCAACTGGCCTCTCCACCTGGCCGAGGTGACGCCCACTATCCAAGGTGACTTTGGACAGTGGGTGTATCCAGGGCAGTCGATTACTTGGTCGCACGGTGGGCCCAATGCTCAATGGTGATCGATCCCCAGGGCCTGCTGTTGGCAAGAGGTGGTGGCGCAATGAGGCAGTGGTTTACTAGCTCGCGGGAGGCTAGGGAGTGGGCCAAAACGGTATATAGATTCACAACATGTGTGCGCACTTATTTGCATGCGCAATACTTGATCGCAAGTCCATTGCTGTCACATCAAGATGAGACAACACACATGCGCATCCAAGCACATCGTCACTGTCCCCCGTTCACCCACGACCGACCCGTTTCCCCAACTGCCTTGAGTACTAGTCCTCCTTCATCTAAAGCCCTAAGTATTACAACTTCACAAATGTTACGCACATAGGCCTGATGTGGGGGACACCCTACTAATGGTCTCTTGGTGGTGGGGACACCCTGCCCAAGATATGGTAAAACATACCGAACCGGACGTATATTAGTATACAATATGGGAGTAGGTCGGGGTGGTCCCGCCTAGGTCCCCGTAAGGACCTAGGTGCCCGGCAAGGCGGGTCCGTGGCTTAAAGAGGGTAGGCACCCCATACCACTAACAATGTTGTATCATTTGGTTTGGAGCCACATGGGGGTGGCTCGCCTGCTTCGACTGTGCGCGAAGGTGAGGACAGCACGAAAGGACTCCGTCCCCGGCCTCCTCCATGGAGGCCGAGGAATTAGAGAAAACAACCCATGAGGGCCAGGCCACAGAAGTGGCCGAATCAGCAGCCCGAGATGGGGCGCCGGCATGGACGCTGGTGGTATGGAAGTATCCCATGAGGAAAGGTCGGACGATGAGGGGGGAGTCCAAGAGGACACGGCAAGGCCATCCGCTGGTCAGACACAGGCTGAGATGCAGGACCAACTGATGGAAGAAGCAGGGGAGACCCCTACAAAAGCACCGGCAGAGTTGGGTACGATGGCAGCATTTCTCCAAGCTCTTGGGATGAAGGAGCTACTGAAGAGAATGGCAGCAACTGTGGCCACCAAGGCACAGGAGGCCCGTGATCGGGATACAATAGCCTGGATCACGCGTCTGGAGATCGAAGCTGCCTCCACCCAGAAGAAGGCGCGCCGGCATGAATTGGTCTCAGACCAATTCAAGACTTGAAAAAGGCCAAGGAGTAGAGCAGGGAGGCCGAAGCTAAGAAGGCCCCCACACAAGAGCAGGGGGTTCACCCTGAGCAATTATTTGTTGAAGCAGAAGCAATGAGCTCGCAAGGCAAAAGAGCTTGTTTTGCCGATTCCCAAGCAACCCGAGAGGGCCACCAATCTGACTGGACCAAAGATGCCGAGCATTCCAGAAGCAGGTGGAGAGTGGCAAGAGGTCGGCCAGTCCAGGGCAAAGAGGAATAGTCCTTCCCTAGGTGAGAACCTTTAATAGCTTGAGATAGGCAAGCAAGCAGGCCCATCGGCCAGAACCCGGAAACATCGGGTTAGATAACAGGTGCATGCCAAGACACCTAGTGATGGAGAGCAGCCCATTAGAGGTGGCCACTCAAGATGCCATCCGGTCCGCTAAATCCGGTTCGTTAATTTTTATCAGCTGTCCGTTAAATTCCGTTACAGAAAAAGGGAGAAAAATTCAGAAAAAACGAAAAAAATCCAAAAAAATCGAAAAAAAACCCAAAAAATCACAACAACTGCGGCTAGTTGAAAATCTAGTATGCATAGGTTGAAATGAAATACAAACATACTCTCTAATAGCGAATTCCATAAACTATGAATATGATTAAAACCCAAAAATCCCCAAAAATCCAAAAATCCGTTAATTTTTGGTTAATTTTTGGTTTTTTTCGTTATTTTCCGTTAATTAACGGATTAATTAACGGAATTAACCTCTGTCCGCTATTAACGGATCTGGGTGGCCACCTCTACAGCCCATTGGGGACTCCTTGATGAAGAGTGCATATTAGGTGTGTGACTTGAGTCCCAGCAGACCTAAGATCCTAGCATGGAACCTACGCAAGCCGGCGTTGCCAGAATGGGGTCCGCAAGAGGACGCTCAAGTGCTGGAATTTGAGCCAGACCTCACATCATAATATAGCAGACCACAAAGGTGCAAAGCCCTATGAACAAAGCTCCATTCAGAATGGCTTGATGACCTTGACAAAGGCTGGAAAATAACTTCGGAAAGGTTTGGCATGCGCCTCACCACTGCAAAGCTGATTAAAATTTAGTGGTGGTATGGCCCCAGCATGGCAGATCAAATCACTAAAGATGATCCAAATTGACTGGAAAAAATGGCCTTTGCGCTAAGCCATGAAATCTTAGTGATGGCAGCCCCGAGAGGCTAGTTCCGGATTACCCTCACCAGTGATGGGAGGAAATTTTGGAACTTTCTTTTTCATCCTGCGCTTCCCCATTGCCTGGGGATATGTGAAAAAGGGTGTAGGTTTATCACATTGAGAAGGAGCAATGAAATACCCGTAACCGGGAATGGTTTGCTCATGCAAGGCACGTTGAATCAACGCTCATCAGATGAGCGGAAAGCTCGTATAGGTCAATATCATAGAGAGCAGAAAGCTCTTAGACAGGAACGGGATAAGCAGTTGAATCCCAAGAAGTAAAAGCAAAAGCGAGCAAGGAGACGCCAACGCAAGGCTGAGGTCCGCCGGTTCCTTCATGCAGGCGGGAGCCAAAAGGTGTAGCATGTTGAGTCTGTCAACTTAGCGGATGAGTTGAACCCAGCAGTGCAGGCCAAGGCATTGAAGCAACTTGAGAAAGCACTGAGGGATAAGGCACCTCATGAAGTGGAGATGACTCATAAGGCAGCCCTTGGGCTGATGAGTCAAGTAGCGATGATAGTGGGGTGAATCGCCCAACCAGGTTTGGCAAACCGCAACCTTCTTTGAAGGACAAGCAGCCCAAAGAGGCAAAGAAAAAGCATCCAGGTTAAACCACTATCACAGCTCCACTAGAGCCATCTCACACATCACACGTCCATGAGCAAGCAGAAATAAGTGATTCTGTTGGACATGGTGAAGTTGTTTATATTGGATTAGTAGGCACTCTAGGCAGTCCCATTCCTCATGAGAGGAAATAG